CACACACACACACACACACACACAGTGCTCTCCTTTGCTGCTCGACAGTCGATGGTCATCGTGGATCCGTGCTTGGATTTGTGCTCATCTTCGATCCGTGGTTTTGGTGGTTAGTGCTCATCGTGGATCCGTGCTTCGTCTTCATTGGTGCTCATCGTGGATCCGTGCTTCGTCTTCATTGGTGCGCATCGTGTTCGCTCCTTTGGTGCTCAACGTGCTCTCCTTGGTGATCATTGCTCTCTCTCTCTCACACACACACACACACACACACACACACACACACACACACACACACACACACACACACACACACACACACACACTGTGCTCTCCTTTGCTGCTCGACGGGGAATTGGTGTCGTGCTTGGATTCGTGCTCATCTTTGATCCGTGGTTTTGGTGCTCGGTGTTCATCGTGGATACGTGCTTTCCGTGCTCACCATCATCTCTCCATTGGTGCTCATCATCTTCTCTCCATTGGTGCTCATCATCTTCTCTCCATTGGTGCTCATCGTGTTCTCCTTTTCGTGCTCGACGGGAACTTGGTGCTCATCGTGGATCCCTGCTTTTCTTTGATGCACGACCATGTGCTCATCGTGGATCGTGCTTTGGTCACCTGCTCATCGTGCATCGGTGCTTTTGGTCACCTGCTCATCGTCGAGCTGTGCTTTTGGTCACCTGCTCATCGTGGATCCGTGCGGAAACTTCGGTGCATGATAATGAGCTCATCTTGGAGCCGTGCTTTTGGTGCTCGGTGCTCATCGTGGATACGTGCTTTCATGCTCATCGTCAATCCGTGCTTTTCGTGCTCATCGTGGATACGTGCTTTTCATGCGCTGATCCGTGCTTTTCATGCTCATCATTGATCCGTGCTTTTCGATCTTGTCGTTGATACGTGGTTTTCGTGCTCGTCTACAATACTATAAAAACTGCCCCATAGGACCTCTCTCCTTCCTCCCTTTCTCCCTCGGCCCATCACCATTACATCCCTCCTCCCTCGGCTGGTCCTCCATTCCCGCCTCCCTTCTCCCCCCGTCCTCCATTCCAAAGAGAGAGAGAGAGAGAGGCAGAAGAGGCACCATCACCATCCCTCCTCCCTCGGCCCGTCCTCCATTCCTCCCTCGACCCTCGCTCCTCCCTCCCTCACCCCTGCCCCATCTGCCCTCCCTCCTTCCTCCCTTTCTCCTTCGTTCCTCCCTCACTCGCTTTCTTCGTCCTTCCTCCGGTGGCGTTACCTTCCTCGGCCCTCCGTCCTCCCTCTCTTCTTGCTCTTTTATCTGGGGACGATATAGAAAGTGCGTTCGGTTTTTCTTATCTTTCTCAATTTACGATAAGGGCGAGCGCGTGCGGTCGCACATAGAGGCACACAGGGAGGCATGGAGAGAGAGAGAGAGAGAGAGAGAGAGAGAGATGGGGGAGTCGGTGAGGATTAGGAGGAAGTTGGTGGCTGGGGGGAGGTTAAAGGTTCATCATGCTTTTTTGTGTTTTTCTTTTCTTTATTTTTTCCCGTACGTTTGTGTGTGTGAGAGAGAGATAGACGGGGGAAGGGAGGAGGGTGAGGGGGAAGCCGGGGGGGCGGTCGGAGAT